TAGATATACCACATTTTCTGTATCCACTCATCTGATGATGGACATGTGGGCTGGTTCCAACTCTTAGCTATTGTAAAGAGTGCTGCAATGAACATTGGGGAACAGGTATATCTTTGACTTGATGATTTCCATTCCTCTGGGTATATTCCCAGCAGGGGGATAGCTGGGTCATATGGTAGATCTATCTGCAGTTGTTTGAGGAACCTTCATACCATTTTCCATAGAGGCTGCACCATTTTGCAGTCCCACCAACAACATATGAGAGTTCCTTTTTCTCCACAACCGCGCCAGCATTTATTGTTCACAGTCTTTTGGATATTAGCAATCCTAACCGGGGTGAGATCGCATCTCAGTGTGGTTTCAATTTACATGCTGGGCGCGCTGCCGCTGCGGAGCATGACGCGCAAGGTGAGCCGCGCCGGGCAGCCGGCCGGGGCGGGAGCCTCCCCGCGGCCCCTGCTGAGCCCGGTCTTTGCCTCGGCAGCTCGTCCAGGACGAAAACGTGCGCGGGGTAATCACCATGAACGAGGAGTATGAGACCCGGTTCCTGTGCAACTCCTCACAGGTGAGGGGCCCGGGCCCGCGGGGGGCTGTATCCGGCCGCCGGGGAGGGTCGGGGCCCGCCAGCCTCGCCCACCGCCCCTGGGCCTGGGGGAGTTAGGGAGGTCTGGGGGTCCCAGGCTTCTCTGCCTCCTCAGGAAGCTCTGGTCTTCTGAGCTTAAATGGCTGCAATAGGACGTAGGATAGAAAGTAACTGTGAAAGGCATTTAAAAGTAGACAAAAACTGATTACTCCTTTGTGTTCAAATGTATTTTTAATATTGATAACTAAAATCAGTAACTAAAATTAAAAGGCAACTTTTCTGTGCCTTGTTGATTTCATTCATACATTTATTCATTCATTCAACACTTAATGGGTCAAGCAGTGTGTTAGGCATTCAAACAAACACACACACAGACACTCAAACACCACACACACACACACACTCCCACCCACCCACCCACCATTGGATCCCCCTATGGGCCTGCCGCAAAAAAAAAAAAAAAATTATCATAAAGCTATACATGGAAAAATTGCAAAGTGTTCTTTTGGCTCTGATTTGGGGGAGTTTTTCATTAGTTAGAGGTTATGGTTAGAGGTTATGGTGCACTCCAAAGTACTGTCATAATAAAGTTCAGGCCTATAACATAATTTTCATGAAATGTGAATGCTTGTTTGTGGAACCTTTCACAATGGTTATTAGAAGATACTGCCTTATCATTATACTGTTCGACATCTATTAGCACTAAGCAATTATCTTTCTCATTTATTGTACTAATATAGCCTGATAGAGATGCTATTTTTTCAACCTGTAGATTTATTATTATTATTTTGTAAAGTTTGTTGGAAGCCAAAGGTGAGTATCAACCCGGGAAACACGATCTGACAGAGTCAGAGAGGTGCTCTCCATAGATTTTTTTAAAAGCTTGAAAATACTAGCGATTTACATTTAAAATATATTGATTAGTCATGGCATATGTTTTTAAAGAATGGATAACATTTCCTTGTATTTCCCAAAGTACCTTGCCACAAGGCCTCAGGAATCAGCCAAAATGGTAAATGTTTACTAGTGTGGTCAGTCCAGCAAGGCAAGGAGAGTCCAAAGCTACTGGGCATCCACAGAAAATGCTTGGTTGCTAGGTGTAAGGCATTGACATTTGTAAGATGTGGCTGTATCATCCCACTAACCTAGAGAAAAGAAATCTCCAAGGCAGTGGTTTTCACATTTTAATATACTTAAGTTATCTGGCAGTCTTGCTAAAATAGCAAAGACTGCTATTTGTACATATAGCCCCAGAGATTCTGACTCAGGAACTTTAGGGTGGGGCCCAGGAATGTGAGTATTTAGCAAGTTCTGCGTGTGTTTCTGCAATTAATGCATAAGCCACATGCTGCAAAATTTTGCTTTCATTTTTTGTTAATTTCATGAGCAATATTAAATACTGACCTTCATTCAGAGGTGTAAAATTCTCTGGTACTTTCTAAAGAGGTTAATAACGAGAGTAACTGGAGCATATCTGAAGAAGCAAAAATAAAGTTGTCCAGTTTGTTAGAGGTCTTATTTCTCTTATTTTTACTTTTTAAGTGATAACATTGCACTAAGATAGGTGCGTTGTTTTAATTTTTTTTTTTTTTTTTTTTTTTGTCTTTTTCTGTGTCCGGCAACGGATCGCAACCCTTAGTGTCGCCCCCGTACCGGACCGGGACCGGCAACGGGATCGCAACCCTCGGCTTTGCCCCCGCTCCTCGCTCAGCCAGTGAGCGGGAACCAGTCCGTATGTGGGATCCGAACCCTCGGCGGGAGCGCAACCGCACTTCCCAAGCGGCACACTAGCGCAGTGCGCCACTGGGCCGTCCCCGCGTTGTTTTAATTTTAAAATGATAATTCTACTTTTTACCATGGGCTCCCTCAAAAAAAGTGGTAAAAAAGAGACTTTGGACAGAAAAATAGAAAGCCCTATGGAACATAGTACCCAAGCCTGCATCTGGATCACTATTAAGGTGCCAAGATAAACACAGTTACACAACTTTTGCATCAGAATTTTATATAGCTCATATTTTGCAGCTTAAGATTCAAGTACTCGGGCCGGCCCGGTGGCGCACTGCTACAGTGCGCCGCTTGGGAGCGTGGCGGCCCTCCCGCCGAGGGTTCGGATCCCACATACAGACGGCTGCTCACTGGCTGAGCGAGGTGCGGGTGCAACACCGAGGGTTGCGATCCCGTTGCCGTCCCGGTCCGGTACGGGCGCGACACTGAGGGTTGTGATCCGTTGCCGGTCACGAAAAAAGACAAAAAGGGAAAAAAAAAAAAAGAAATTCAAGTACTCAAAAGGTACTGTAAGAACACATTTTTTTTTTCTTTTTGTGGCTGGCCAGGATGGGGATCTGAACCCATGACCTTGGTGTTACAACACTGTGTTTTCTAACCAACTGAGCTAACTGGTCAGTTTAAGAACACTTTCAATCTTGGACATAATTCTAACTCAACAGCATAGCTGTCGTTTAATGAAACGCTAACCATGTAGGTCAGCCATTTTAAAGGAATTTCTGTAGTTTCTTTTTTAAAAAACAGGAAACAGTATATTCACATTGTAGTAAACCCTGAAATGTTCTTGTCACTAGTTGCCTCTTCGGAGCCCATCATGAGGTTTTTTTCATTCTCTTTTTCATGTTGGTGGACCTGATTCCAGGAGTGGAAGAGAGTAGGGGTCGAGCAACTGCGGCTCAGCACAGTAGACATGACTGGGATCCCCACCTTGGCTAACCTCCAGAAAGGAGTCCAGTTTGCTCTCAAGTACCAGTCGCTGGGCCAGTGCGTCTATGTGCATTGTAAGGCGGGGCGCTCCAGAAGTGCCACTATGGTAGCAGCATATCTGATTCAGGTAGGAAAGGTCTTTCTGGACTGTCCCCATTTATAGCAGATTTCCAGAACTTCAATAGCATGGACTACTGGCAGGCCTTGCTGGAAGGAGCCATGTACCCAATTTCAGGTTATTGGCAAGTAGTATGGTACTGTGGAAAATACTTGAGCATTGGGGATAGGCTAACCTCTGGCTCTGCTACCTGCCAGCTAGGGTAGGCAAAAGTGGCTCCTTCTCTCTGATGTTCAGTGTTTTCAAACCAAATTTGGTATGAAGCTAATATGAGAAAGTACAAGTGCTGGCCTACAGCAGGCACTCAAAAAATGGAGGTGTGGACTCTTGCTCAGCCCATTCATGCCACGTGTCACCTTGGTCAACATGGAACCCTGTAGAGTTCCCACCCAGAAGGCCCTCACCAGATGTGTCCCCTGGACCTTGGACTTCCCAGCCTCCAAAACTGTTAGTTCCTCACTGTGCTCTGAAGGCTCTCCCTACTCTTGCTCACTCCTACTTCATTTTTCACAGGACGCTACCCCAGTAAATATCCCATATGTTTTTTTAAAAAAATTGTGAAGGTGTGAAGGATGTTCAACCTCAACAAAAGGCTAGAAATACTTGTTACAAATAATATGTCAGGGAATCTAGTACTGTAGATAATAGTGCTCATCACTTTCAGCTCTATAGTACTCAGGTTTCTTCAAGTATTTCAGAGTAAAGTTCTGGACATGTGTCTAGAAACAAAGGATCCAAGCTGAATTTTGCCTATCAATTTGTTGTGATTGGCAGGTAAGATGCTTTAAAAATATTTAAAAGAAGCAAATACCCTGTGGTCCTGCATCAATCCCTGTTGTCTTACATCCTCACAGCTTGACTTATTTTTGTTATTTGTCTGGTACCTGCAAAACATTTTTTTTTTTTTGGTGGCGGGCCACTGCTGGCCACCCTTAGACCTTGGTGTTACAAGGCAGTGCTCTAACCAGCTGACCTAACTGGCCAGCCCCTTCCTGCAGACGTTTTCTAAGTCATGTGGATAGTTTAAGGAGAAAGGAAATATAATCAGCTTAGGCTTGTTTGTGTTACTGTGGACTGGTGAGTATATTATTGGACAATACTAAAGCTTTGGTCATAAGGACTCTGCTGGAAACGGCATCAGGAAGGTGTTTGGGGCCAACTGAGAACCAGCAAGCTAGAAGTCCATATTTTCTTGATTGTGTTGAGTTCTAAACCAAAGAGTATCCTTAGAACACAAAGATAACCCTCCTAGCTAAATTTTAAAGTATTCTTTTTTTCTAGCCACAGTGACGAGTTGCATAAAAACATCTACCATATACTCTTCCCTAGAAATTCTTGTAACCAGGGGGGCCAGCCCGTGGCTCACTCGGGAGTGTGTGGTGCTGATAACACCAAGTTAAGGGTTAAGATCCCCTTACCAGTCATCTTAAAAAAAAAAAAAAAAAAATTCTTGTAACCAAAAGCCCAGCTCAGATGGGATATTGAGTAGGTCTAGGCAGTCTTGAACTTAGGATCTCAGCTTCATGTGTTCAACCTTCTTTTTCCAGGGTTTAGCAAAGAATTAGATAGAAAGACTGACTTGTCCACCCAGCCTGTTGCATAGTATTGTAGGACTGGTTGACTGAGATGGTTAAAGTACTCTCCCATTTATACAAAGGTACTTCAAAAAGTTCATGGAAAATTTGAATTAAAAGATAATATAAATACTTCCATGAACTTTTCAAAGACCTGTTATACTACATGGAGCATGGTTCCATGCCCCCCAAAATGGCGTATTTAAAAAAATGAAATTTGGGCCAACCCCGTGGCGCACTCGGGAGAGTGCTGCGCTGGGAGCGCTGGGAGCGCAGCAGCGCTCTCGCTGCGGGTTCGGATCCTATATAGGGATGGCCGGTGCGCTCACTGGCTGAGCACGGTGCGGCCAGTCACAAAAAAGACAAAAAAATAAAAAAATGAAATTCTAGGAGTCCTTTAGGCCCTGCTCATAGGTCAAGGGCACCTTAATACCTTCTCTTTTCTCTACTGATTTCCCTACCCTGTACTTTAGGTGCACAACTGGACTCCAGAGGAAGCTATAACAGTCATCGCCAAGATCCGGTCACACATCTATATCAGACCTGGCCACTTGAAAGTTCTTAAAGAGTTCTATAAGATAAATGCAGGGGCAGCAAAGGATGAGACTGGTGATACATCAAAGACTTGAAGTACATGGATTAGAAAGAACTTAAGCTAACTCTGCTTGATACAGAGTAAAAAAGTTTAATAAGACCAAAGGGGCCTAAGCCCAGACTTGACATAACGGAAATGTGCTAAGTAATGGATAATTTTGCTTCCTTTGTCTTATTTCATTTTCCTGGAATAACACTGTTGCATGGTTAGAGAGGAAGAGATTTAGTGTGGCTTGCTTGCATTCATGGGATACGGGATAGGGATGGGGGGTCAAAGAAATACTAAATTCAACAAAAATCTATGGTGTACCTACTATTATGCCTAATGATATTTAGTACCATAGCTCAAAGACATTTAACATTAGAAAAGAAAAGAGAAATACTCAGCTCTGGCACTTTGTCACTGTGACAATACCAATTTCACTGGCCCTGTGGGGCTCCCCTCATAGTTTTGGAGCAGTCATCCGGTGTGTAGAAAGGGAAGTATGGGTTGCTGCTGACTTAGAAATGTGTGGGATGTAATTAGTTCCCCTTAGACAGTCACCCCTCCAAAACTCAACACGAACACACATATCTGTTCAAAAATTTTTATTTGTATGAACAGTTCCTAGCTCCTGACTTAGCTTAGAGCTTTTAAAAGAGCAGAGACCTTATATATATGAGTTTAAAAAACAGTTTCTGCTATTAATCAGAAATAATCCTTACTACTTTCTGGCTTACCTCTTGGGATAAGCCAAAAATAAAAACTAAAGTTACATTTCCTGACAGATAGATGAGAAAACAAATAGATAGAACATTTAGAATTCTAGAGTTGACTCTTGCTGGTGAAATACACCTTCAGCTTAGTTCATTCTCCCAAACAAAGCCTGAAGGAAAACTCTAATACCTAATTTTTTGTGGAAAAATTATCCAACTAGCCACTTTGCAGGCTATAGAAAAAAAGTGGAATTGGGCATCTTTCCTTCTGCCATGGGATCAAGGGTGATCCTATTTAACATTGATCAGGTAAAGAGGGAAGACTGTGCCTACAGTCTGAGAAGAGGCTTGCTCTAAGCAATCTGTAGTGAGGCAAAGGATTACCAGGGGATGGCAGAGAACAGGTTGGCTTGCTCTCAGTTCAAGTAGCCAGGTTAGCAGCAGTCTAAAAAGCCCCAAACAGAACACCCCCATGGGTTCAGGGAAGGACTGAGGCACTGCCTTTCTAATATGTGCCAAAAAATAATACATTACTCTGAATTGGGGACGAGGAGACTTCGAATTTGGATGGGGAGGTGCTGATAAAAGAGGAGCGCAAAGAAGTCAGCTGCTCTGCCCCCCACACCCTTAGGCCAACACAAATTGCAAATTGGTAAGCAGCACCTTAATGCCTCTAGTGACAGTTACAGCTGAAGTGGCAGGGTCAAGCTTGTAGGTGTTGGCATCCCCCTTTTTGTATCGGTCCCGGAAGACATAGATGCTCCCATTACAGCTGGCTATCTTCCAGAGGGATGGGGCAGAGCTCCAGGCCTCAGGAAGGCAAAGCCGGGTGAAGCTGTCTAGTAAGGGATTGTAGCACACCAGGGAGTCCCCTTCAGCCACGATGAACACCAGATCTTTATGCACAGCTGCATGCATGCGGCCTGCGAAGGGCAGCACATAGGGCTTCACATGGCACTTGTCTGTCTCTGTGTCAAAGCACTGGATGAGTCGGGAAGGTTTGGTAAAGAAGTCCAGATCATTCTCTTCCCCCCCTAGTAAGTAGATGATCCCGTTGAGGTTGGCACCAGCAGCCCCTGACACAGCCACTTCTAGCTGGGTTGTTTCTGTCCACACATTATCACCTACCCGATAATAGATGACTGCATTGGAGAGGGTATCCTGCAGTGTCTTGCCACCCAGTGAATATATGGCATCCTTCCCGGGCACAGACACCAGGGTGTGCTGGAGCCGGTCCCGGGGCAAAGGTGCACACCACTCCCAGTCAACAGTGGCATTGTTGCACTTCCACATGCGCCGTGGGATGGACCCTCCCACCACATACAAGTCTCCACCATGTTTGCAGGCCGCAGTGATCTGGTGGCACAAGCTGTTTTGGCCACTTACACTGATGGAGTCATCTTCTGCACAGTGCAAGGACACAGCCAATGAGTGGGTACGAGATGACTCCTTCCCGATCAGGTAAATGTGCACATTCTCCCCAATTTCCTATTGGCAAAATTAAAATTATAAATGCCATCTGTCAGTTCTAGGCTACACTTGTATCTTGTTCTAACCTACTCCCCTCTAGTTACTGTGTGTCATTCTGGCTCTCCTCTACCCTTTCTTCTAAGCATTTTATACTGGGGCAGAGAATCTGTTGCACCCATCCTTGCATCTTTTTTTAAACTACCATAAGCCAGTGCTTCAGACAAAAGGTGCTTAGGATTGTTAACTAAAAAGCAGTTCTCTCAAGGAACTTTGTAGCTTATGGATTGGTGGCTTCTGGGGTCAGAAACTTATCATTTCGATCCCTACTGCCAGACACCAAACAAAAACAACCCCAAAACAAACATATTCTCCCCAGCTCATATCAACCTCAAGCCACTGACTTATTCAATAGCCATCAAAGAGGCCATGCCAACTAATGACCAGAATGCACGGAGATTATGGTGTTCCAACTCAAGAAATCTGCCTTACCTTCAAGCTAGTCCTGAGTGACTCTGCAAAAGCCTCTCTTTCCTCTTTATTAAAATTGATCCAGGCTTCTATTGCCTCTGTTGGGTTCTGGGAACATGGAACTCCATCTGTGAGAGCCAGAGGAATGGCATGGTCAATAACAATCCGAAAGGGAAATTTAGAGCAAGGAGATTTAAAGAAGTGAACCACTTTATTAGACTAGCACCATGTGTATACAAGGGTACTTCAAAAAGTTCATGGAAAGATTCGTATCAACTTTTTTTATTTTTGGCAGCTGGCCGGTACAACAAACCCTGAACTGTTAACCTTGGTGTTACAAGGCTGTGCTCTAACCGACCTAAATGGCCAGCCCTAACTTTTTAAAAAAATTTTTCCACTGCTAAGAGTTGTAAGATTCATATTATCTTTCCATTCTATTTTTTCATGAAATTTTGAAGTACCCTCGTGTATGTATGTATGTATGTGTATACATATATATATATTTATAAAATTAATGGATGGCTTGATATGCTCCCATTTGCCATGGAAGCAATCTACTAGTCTTCAGAGCTCACAACTAAAGTATACGTTACTTGCAGGGTTAGCATTGTTACCTAAAGTTGGCCCATCACTAAAAAAGTCTGTTAAATGTCTTGCTATTTAGGTAACTAATCCCATAGGTACATGCAAAGTACAGGACAGATGAGAACATCTAGGAATAGGACAGACTAGTGTATAATACAAACAGCTCTTTACTACCTTTTCTGGGTAAATGCTGCTGCTTTTACTTCCCTGGCTTCTTCCTCTGTAAGAAAACTCTCTGACAGCAGATACACTGAATGTCAACTCAATCTCTTGCTGCAGGTATCTAAATTCTTACCACGAATGATGTAAATTAATCCCTGGAAGCTTGAGGTTTCCTTTCCCCTAAACTAGAACATCTACTGAACATCGTACCCTAGGTGGGTATGATATGCCCCCTCCCTAAATTTACCTGAAATGATATCAGTGAGTAGATGGTGGGGCAAGTGGAGAAATTCCTCTGTGCTCTTCAGCTGGGCCAGGTGAGTCTTGGCACAGTGCTTGGCAGCAGTGTAGAGCTCAGGATCACTGTGCCGATCTGCCAACCACATCACCTGAAGGCAGTTTCCCACTTGCACTGTGCGGGCCAAAAACCGAGAACATTCCTCAAAGAGAGATGTCAGCTGATACATATCTGACACCTCATAAATTTCCTGCAGCTCATCAGCTCGAAGTTTTACAGTCCCATGGTAGATATAATCAACCAGGAGCTGGAAAACAGACTCGCTGACATCCTGCAGCACAATCACTCGGTTGTGGGCCTCCTTCAGATTGGAAGTGAACATGGACCGGAAGAAACAGCTCTGAGCTGAGAGGACCAGCCGGTGGAGCTGAAACTCCCTGCCTTCCACTGAAATGGTGACATCAGCAAAGAGCTCCTCCTCAAGACACAGTTTCATGATGCCTTGAGCCACACGGCCTGAGTGTGACCGATCTTTGAAGGTGTAGTTCACAAAGTAGTTCTCATCCATGGATGCTCCAGGTTCCTCTGGTGATTCCATGGTAGCCAATTTTCTCTGCCAGCTGTCTGCAAAGCAACACCACACTGAGTGACTTGGGGAATTCACAGCCTTATTTATCTGTGCATCCAACTGACCAAACTCAGAAAAGAAGATGGAAAAAGTGATAGTAAAGTGGCTCCAGATTGGTCTTCGTGCTGGCCCCGCCAGTGATGTCCCTGACGCTCTCCTTCAACCAAAACTGTGTTCATTATCCTACCATAGTGCCCCTCCCCCGATGAAATCAACAAAAGTTCCAATTCTGGGTGTTTCCCTGAGAAAAGACGGAATATTCCTTTCTATGACGTAACAAAAGGCTTGGGATTTAGGAACATATGAAAGCAAGTGGCTGGAGAAAGCCTGTGATCTTAAAAGCCTTTCTAAACAAACAATTCGGGCATAAAATTAGTGAAGCTCGGGGGCAGAAGAACTAGACAAAAAAGATCCCCACGTCCTTGCGGCCAGGTCCTCTCTACCCCTGCGCACGGGGTCCAGGCTCTCCGATAAGAGGCCTGTCCTGGGACATTCGTCAAACCCACGTTTCCTCTCTTCTGAGCTTCTCTCTTCCAACCCCCCTTCCCCCCCCCCGCCCACTTTGCCGCTCGCCTTAGACTCCTCAAGCCTCCATCCCAGAACTTGAGACAGTCACCAGCCCGGGGCACTAGGAGGCCCATAGCCCAGTGCAGTGTACCCGCTCCACCTGGAGTCACCTGGGAAACGGTCGCCAGGGAAACAGTTTTTCAGGCCCGCCCGCCCTCCTCAAAAGCTTAGCTCCAGCAGTGGGGAAGGGGTGTGGAACATAGAACCAAGAACGCCCGCTCCTTTCCCTCCTCTCACCCGTCCGGTTCTTCAATGCCTCGCCTTCACTCCAGCCTCCGCGACACCGAGCTACGGTTACCTTCACCTCACGGTTTCCCCTACCTGCCCGTCTCGCTTTTTCACCTGCGTTCCCTCCTTTCATCCCGGAACCCGGAACCTCTGCTTCCGGCCCCGGGTCCGCCCGGAAGG